TATTATTGTAAATGGCGGCCACTACTTAGAACATGCTACGCGTAGCCATACTGTCCAGCAGAAGTAACGCAGCAATTGCAACTGCTACATGAAGCCGCTACGTAGCGCTACGTAGCGCTAGCTTCGGCTAAACACACCCAATCGACACAAGTCGACACAAAAGTCATTCTGTCTTTGTTCAGTATTCAGTGAGAAACAAAGAGCAAAGCTGCGTTTCGTTTCATGCATTTGCGCGCATTTGTCTATACTATATGTGACCTGTACTATAGATAAAAGCGCGCTACTGCGTGAAACGGAACGCACTCCAAGAATCGTCGTCTGTGATTGGCGGTTCTCGCTCGTGCGCGTGCCATCACCGCTTCGATTGGCTTCGATACTCTTAGGTCTGTTCTTTTTCCATACATTGGGTGCACTAGTTCACAGTCTATCTTTTTTTTATCTATATTCAAAGGAAGAAGATAAACTGTGAACTAGTGCAGCCAAATTATGGAAAAAGAACAGACCTCTTGTTGCTGCGAGCTCGATCTTTCATCACTGGTTACCTCAGTGTTCCGATATTGGAAAGGCTGTACGCGCATGCGCGGCGTTTATAACGTCACAAAAGTATCTAAAACAAGTAATATAAGGTACTGTCACTGGAACCGATTATTGCATTTAAAATTTAAAAAAAAATGTAAATATAAAGGTGACACACGTTTATAATACAAAATATATATTTACATAAAGTTAGTTATTTTACTAATATAATTGAATTTATTACTATTATCTTATTATATTACAAATATAAATTATACACTACTGTACAGTGTATAAAAATAAAGAAAAAGGATATAGGTAAAAAATCATTTTACAAATAAACAAAATAGCGTTTAAAAAAGTTATTTATTAAGCAAAAATTTTATTGGATACCAACATTTGTTGCTTGAGTAAGGAAAACTGCCAAAAACCTTACCAGTATCCATATAACAAAAACATATTGCACATTATTAAAAAAACAATGCAACTAATTACAAACAATTAATTACTTACAAAAACAAAAATATACATAATATAAAAATAATTTTTAATATTAATATATATTAATTATTATATATATATTTAATTTTTATAAAAACCATTGTTATTACGTAAACAATATTAAACTTCCAAGTTTTAAAAATAAAATATGTTATAACAAATAAAAAAGTTATATTTAAGCTATCTCCCGCTAGCTAGCCTCCCGCTAAAACTACCGCGCATCTTTATAGATACGTTACTGGATTCTCTCGGATTTCGTCGCGCATGCGCAGCCTCTCCAATATCGGAACACTGTAAAGCCTATGTCACACTACGAATTAGGATTGAGATTGGATTGCAATTTGGCCAATTAGAGCAAAGATCACTAAACTTAGGATTGGTTTTCTTTCTTCTGATTGGTCAAATTTCAATCCAATCTCAATCCCAATCCGTAGTGTGTCATAGGCTTAACGGTTACCTTGGCGCAGGGGTTACTTTTGATCAGGCATAGGCAAAGTGTGGTCACCTTTGATGCAGAAGAGATAAAAAAACGTAAGAAAAAATTAGTAATAAGAACGTAAAGAAATAACTAATAACAAATAACGATATGTCGCGAAATAAGAGAAATAAGGATTTTGTAAAGTTTCGAACACTAATATATGATAATTTTATTTCAGTTAGTTTTCTCAATTTTAATACTTATTGTGCATTTTTTGTCAATTATAGTTTGAATTTCATATATTTAACATATACTTAAGTCATGTTCTAATTTCTTTGATTATTTGTTTGAACGTAAACATTGTAAACTTTGATAAATCTTCTCTCCGTATAATTATTGAGTATACCGTTTATGTATCTAAGTGGCAAAGTTTAGATATAAATCAGAGATTTTTAACTAGTTACGTTCAGAAAATAGTTGAGAGATTATCACTTGTAATTGTACTAGATTATAATTTTGTGATAATTTTTGAGAATTAGTTTTATCGTAAGTGAGAATCTTTCAACCATTGTATACCTGTTGAGTTTTCTGAACATGTGATCGGTAATCTTTGAAAAACATCCTAAACTATCTTGTTCTTTTTTCTATCATATCTTGTTTTTCTCTTACTGAGTCATCAAAGTACAATCTGTAACACATGACAGAAATGGTGAAATTATAGTTTTTTCATCANTAACCTAACCTAACCATAACAGGTTTTTTTCCATTAACAAAACTTATCTGCGCACATTTTATTATCAAAGAGAATGTAATTATATAAAATATTTGTTTTGTTTATTTAACTACCAGTATAAAGATGACAACAGAAGTATCAGAAGATCATGCTAAAAGCAAAGTTAGTGAAAGAGAACATATTCGTCAAACATTTTATAAAAATCCAATCAAGAAAAAAAATCTTAGATTAGATCCGGATTGGATATCGTCTTACAAGAACAGACGAAAAGACATAACAAGATACCACATGTTAGAACTTAGAAAAAGGTATGTATATTATAAATAGTAATATATAAATTATTTATGCAATTANATTTTATATTTTTTGTTAGAAGCATATGTATGGCCATGCTCATGTAATAATAAATCTATTAAAGATCTAAAGTGTACTTGTATTAAAAACCTTTAATAATATAACATATGTTAGCTGTTAATTAGTAATTAATGCATTTTAGTAAAACTTATCTTTTTTGATAACTTTTGTTGTCTGTACATAAATTAAAAAGTATGAATGTAATAAATTCTAACAATTGTATGTTATAACATATAGATGTAGANATGAGAACTTCAATGTTGCACGTCTATTAGCAGAGCCTAAATACGAAGATGAAGAAGAAGATTATGAAAAACATAATGTTTTTGAACTTATTCAATATTATGAATTTTTGAAACAACTTACAAAACATGTAGACTCNAAAAAAAGTGAACGCAATCTACATGAAAACAATACAGGAATTCACAGACAAAAAAAAGATCCAATTAGAACTGATCCTATCTCAACTGTTGTGCAACAGTTGGGCTGTGTCCATTTAACCGAAATGGACCGACCTAATACAGAAATTGAACTGCAGGAATAGCAGGAATTGAAAGAAGTTAAGAAAGTGGAAAAGAAGAAAAAAGAAGGTGGCTTTCCGATCTGTTGCGGAGATGCGCAGTACCAGAAGCAGACATCTGTTATATGTTGATAACAGATCTGCTGAACAGATTTGAATTGGTATCGTAACCAAAACACTTATTCAAGTTTCCGTTTATTTGTAAGAAAACTAAACTAAAATTAAACATGGAAATAGAATCGAACAAGAAAGCGGTGGACAGATCGTCTGGAACGTTAGAAATGTGCACACAACTGCTTCTGTTGTGTACTTGTTCACCTGCCTCTGCATATTCTATTCTTCTCTTTTTGAAATCGAGTTTCTCTTTCGCGTCAATGCTCTTCTGTTTAATTACTTGCAAAACATTAAGCATGGAAATTAATGACCATCGCATTGTTAGGCCAACCACACTCTACCTCAAAACATTTAAGTCAAATAAAAACATGACAAACCTGAACTTGCATATTCTCATTGATGAAATTTATAGGTTTTACTCCTGTCAAGGTAAAAAAACTATATCACGGTAAGTCTTGTCTAAAAGAGAAAATAAAAGATCTTGAAGATTATAAGCAAGCCGAGAAACAAACAATCCACAGGAATAAGGATGATTGAGAAAGAACTCACCTATATATAATTGTCTCTTTTCCTCGTAACTTTCGCAAGTTACTTTATAGATCGCACCATCTTCCACCACAATGAGCGCTTTCTTGTGTTCGATTCCATTTCTATGTTTAGTTTTAGTTTAGTTTTCTTACAAATAAACGGAATGGAAACTTGAATAATTGTTTTGGTTACGATACCAATTCAAATCTGTTCAGCAGATCTGTTATCAAAAAATAACAGTTGTCTGCTCCTGGTACTGCGCATCTCCGCAACAGATCGGGGAGTTACCTTCTCTTTTCTTCTTTTCCACTTTCTTAAGAGAATATTTAACCGTCTTGTTTTACCATCACTTTGTATTTNCGACTTTTTGTAAAAACTATGAATCAGAATAAAAAATGCTTCTCCAAAAATATAGAAAATATAATAAAGAATGTGATAAAGCCTAAAAATTTAAAAAAAACAAAAAAAAGTTTTTAGACTGTTATTACNGAAACTACATTTCTTACTTTATATTCAAAATTGGCCATATAAATCCACATAAAAATACCTTTATCCCAAACTAGAAACATAGACGAATATTTTGAGTGCTTCAAAAAAGATTTTGAAGCCTTGTTAGACAAGAAAACTTGGAAATACGATTAGTACAATTTTAGCAGAAGCGTCAGAGAGAAACATATGTCTATCCTTGGCTCTCTCATGTCATTTATTCTTGTTTTGGTTTGATTCGGTATCGAGAGATGGCGCCACCTATCCGATAGCATAGCGGTTGAGTAGCAGCTGAGCGAACTTTTGCCAGCGGTTCAGCATCCTCTTAAGGCGGTACTGGATACCGACTATAGAGACCTGTAAACCGACGTTTTTATAACCTAAATTTCTTTATTTTTTAATTTTATTTACTGCACAACATTAAAAGCGCTTCTACAGAAGCAAATAAATACAGAAAGCTTTTGAAAATGGGTATATAATGTTTTTTTGAACTTGTTTTTCATTCATAATGATAGTATATGGTAGCAAATACACATCATCACAATATTACTTTTTGTGCATCAATTAGACAAAATCATATTCTGAGTGTTTCATTACATTGTTTTGTGTCGTACGTATTGCTGTAATTCAGTGTAAATACGTACAGAAGCTTAGAAATAATTTTATATACATAATGATATGATAAGGTTATAGAAGAAAATTTGTATAACAAAAAATTTATGGTGAGTTTTGACATTTTAAAGAACAACAGCAAACTCTTATTGGATTGAGATTTGACCAATCAGAAGAAAGAAAACCAATCTTAAGTTACTGATCTTCGCTCTGATTGGCCAAATTGCAATCCAATTTCAATCCAAATCCGTAGTGTGACATAGGCTTAAGGGTTTGCTGTTGTTTTTTAAAATGTCAAAACTCAGCATAAATTTTTTCTTATACAATTTCCTTCTATAACCTTATCATATCATCATGTATATAAAATTATTTCCAAGCTTATGTACGTATTTACACTAAATTACAGCAATACGTACGACACAAAACAATCTAATGAAACACTCAGAATATGATTTGCAGGGTTGGGCACGTATTATACGTGAGGTATTTTACATTGTATTATACTTGGTATTGTACAGTATAATACATCGCTTAATTTTATACATATTATACTTCGTGTGGCGCCATCTCTACACCATGTGTATAGTAAATGTTTAAGTCCAACATTCATGATCCATGTTGCTAGAAATCGGTCCGAGATTTTGGTTCAAAAAATGTATAGCCAATCAACTTGCAGTTTTTAAGCAGAAAGCAGCAATTTTATTGACTACGTTAGTCACACACAATTGTGATAGAATTTTGATGGTTAAAGAAACATCATT